CTGTTGGGAAACAAAATCAGGATAAATATTGAAATTTAATTCCATTGAAATGAACTACTTTCATGGATCTTCAACAGCTATGGAATGTACTGCCATAACTTGTCAGATTTAGAACCAGAGGCAATAAGAAGGTTGAATCCAGCCTAGGCAGAAAAATTCGTAAGATTCTTATCTCTAGTTAGCCACCAAAAAGTCAGAAAGCTCAAGTGGTATAATGCCCCAGCTCTAAGCTAAGGTTCTGTGCCGAGGCTTTGAGTTACTAGAAAGAAAATAAAAAAAAATACAAGAAAGAAAGAAAGAGAGAGAGAGAAAGAAAGAGAGAGAGAAAGAGAGAAAGAAAGAAAGAAAGAAAGAAAGAAAGAAAGAAAGAAAGAAAGAAAGAAAGAAAGAAAGAAAGAAAGAAAGAAAGAAAGAAAGGAAAGAGGAAGGAAGGAAGGAAGGAAAATCAAGAAAGAACAATAAAGAAAGAGAGAAAATGAACAGATGCTAATATATTGTTCCTAACAAACATTTTCAAGCTTTGCTTCTAAATCTTGGAGGAAAATCTGAATTCCCTACAATAGCAAAGCACATTTTTTTTTTTTTTTTTTGCAGTAATCAAACCTTGGAATAGATTCAGAAGGGTGCTGCATTTCTTTACTACAGAATTTATCCAAAGGTCAGATTCATTTCTCTGGTGTCTTCTATGATAGTTAGCCTTATTGGTTCAGAAATCCCCAATAAATGTTCTATTTCCAAACTATTAATTCCTCTTTGCTGAGCAAATTATCATCTATCAACTATCTTCTGTCATATGGCTTCAACTTACCTATGTGATCTTTGTATTACTCATTGCTTTTAGGCCCAAAGCATAAATTGGCCTGTTTGGAAGTTATGAAATGTAACAATCAAATCCCATTAATTAAATAAATATTTGTTGAGGTCACAGTATACATAAAACCGTGTGTAATTGACAATCTAGAGAAAAACCAAAGATGAATGGATTCTCCACTCTAAGAAACTTGTTAACTAACAGCTGTATTATGAATGATCTACTTTTCCAAATTCAATCAATTTAGGGAAGTATGTTGGAGAGCAGAGGCAGCCGTGGTGCATATGCATCATGTATCATCTTTGAGGACTAAAAAAGAGACTGAATCTTAGAAAGAGATTGAAATTAACTACTTTCATGGATCTTCAACCGTTATGGAATGTACTGCCATAACTTGTCAGATTTAGAACCAGAGGCAATAAGAAGAAACAATTTTAGGTGGGCACTTAGGAGGCTGATAGTTTAGGATTGAAGTTTAAATCCAGCCTAGGAAGGAAAATCTATAAGATTCTTACTACCTACTCCTGTAGGTAGTAAGGTAAGAGAATAGTAGAGGCTGTATAGCTTTAGAGTATTTGCCGGGTTACATTAAAAAATGTGTTTCTTGGAAAATGAAATGAGCATCAAAAAGGGAGCAAAAAATGTATGGAATGCTATAATAGAATTCAGAGGAAGTATGGCAGCTTTGTCCAGTATGTCTTAAAAGCAGAATAAACAGGATGCGCTAATGGATTGGGTGTGGAGTACTTAGGGGAAAAAACAGAATCAAGGATCAGTCCAGGTCTTAAGTTTGCACTGGTGGCTTTCAGAGCCATTGCCTAACAAGTCAGAAATAGACAGGATGTAGGAGTAGGGGGGCGGCTCAAAAGTGCAGTTTGACTTTTAATAAGTAACTTGACCAAAATGCCATAGATCAGACCAAAGATATTAGCAGCTTTGCTTCATAGACACAGAAATAGAGAAGATGAAGACACATTTTGAAAATAGCACAGGTGTGATTAAGTGGTTAGATATTTTTCAGATACTAGATTCCTTGATGATTTGCTGATTATGCCTTTAAGACTTCTTTGTTCTCTAAGTTGCTACCCTTAGTCACCTTGTAATTCTTTCCTTTTTTCAATGCTTCAAATACCACACCCCGTGAGGATTCCCCAACACTAATAGAGTGCTAGGCATTATTTTCAATGCTATGCAGATGTTGATCAATTAATTCTAAAACAATGAAGTGTGTATTATTTTAGGAGAGAATCAGCCATGGAGCAATGAAGTGATTTACCTAATGTCACAAAGCTACTAAGCAGTAGATTATAACATCTATATCTGGAGTCTGTGATCACAAGAAGTATACTCTGCAGACTCTGAAATCTAATGGACCTCTCAGACTTCCTGAGACAGAGCAACCTTAACATTTGATAAGAAGTTGAGCTTGTTCTGTACTTTATTCAGCTTGGATTCCTACAATCTTACCTTGGGTTTTCAGAATTTCCTAAAATTTTTAAGTACCTGTATATTTATATTTTTTCTTTCTTTCTTTCTTTCTTTTTTTGTCAGTCTTGGGGCTTGAACTCTGGGCTTGGGCGTTATCCCTGCACTCTTCAGCTCAAGGCTAGTGCTCTACCGCTTGAGCCACAGCGCCATTTCCGGTTTTCTAGTGGTTTATTGGAGATAAGAGTCTCACGGACTTTCCTGCCCAGGCTGGCTTTGAACCGTGATCCTCAGATCTCAGCCTCCTGAGTAGCTAGGATTACAGGCGTAAGCCACCAGCTCCCGGCTTGCATATCTATATTTCAAAATTAAACTTAAAAAATTATCTTTTTTCTGAAATATTACTTTTGTTAATAAATATATAATCACATAGATATATAAATTATCTATATAATAATTACCTATATAGATAGATATATAAATTATCTATATATGTTTATTTATGTATTTCTATATTAGTTCTAACTTGTATATATGACAGAGCTAACCATGGAAGTACCCTACTTATATATTTTGAATGTAGATACTTAATATCCTTCTAAATCACAGTTAGTTACTCAGTTAAAACCAGTCACTTCCATTTGTTTAATGAAATATTATACTTCCTAAGAACCCTGCCCTATCTATAGATGATTTTATGACTCTGGCTTCATTTTATTTCTTCATTTTTACCCATTGTATTCTAGTACTCCTGTAATTAGAGATTGTTCATGACTCTCCACTACCCCAGGATTAGGTTTCTGGTCTTCTTTTTCTGGCTTCATCCTAACACTAAAAACATCCTACACAGAAATTGTGTGTTTGCAGTTCTCCCTTTGATGTAGGATTAAAGCTTTGCTTTGTCTTGTGTTGTGGATGTGCTCTGCCCCTGGCTTCTGGGACACTTTGGACTTTCTGAGGACAAAGGTCTTTGTTGTTCACAACTGTTGTTGTAGCCCCTGTACCTCAATGGCACCTGACATATGACGGGCACTACTAACGTATATTGAGTACAAGAGTGAGGCCAGATACCTAACAGCGTATCCTCAAGAGTGTCCCAAAATACTTCATCTGGTTCTCAGATGAACAAATTAGTTTACTATAAACCATTTATTTGTAGAATGGCATTCACTTAATCATGACTAAACATCTCCAAGTTACAAAAGGATTTGTTAGGTGGACTTGTACATCCTTGTAAATCCCATGTATTTTTCCCTTCTGAGAAAACTACAGGAAAGTTGTGGTCCAGTAAATATGGTAGAAGAGTAATGTAGTATCTCTAGTGGAATGTAACGGGATTCTTTGGACAGAATGGCTAGACCACCAGAATAAGAAACAGAAAGGTAACAAGTCATTTCAGGTTACTTTCTTAGATTCGTTTTCCTCTAATATCTTAAAAATTGAACTCAATGAAGTACAAAAGGTAAAAGCAGAAAGGATCCAAGCAAACCTGTTGTCTGTTTCTAAACTGACAATATTTGATAAACTAATTGACAGAAGTCAGAGAAAAAAATGTTTTTGTTTTCTGCCCACTCTGCCCTGTAAAGGTAATGATAGCAGATTACAGAGACAAATGCCACGGAGGCTGAGAAGGCACTGATAATTCTAAAGGTGAGATTTCTCTGTGATCAAAGGAAGTGTGCCTCATGATTTTTGAAGAACTTCCCTGGTGGTTTTTCTTCATTTTTCATTTTTCTAGCTTCATCTCACTTTCATCTCCTCCTTTTCAGTGAAGTAACATGAACAGAGAACGCTGAACAGAGAATGTGAGGCCGAGGAAGAAACTGGAATCTCCTCTTTCTTGCCAGAGGACGAGGAAGTAGGTGGGAGAGCTTGGACCCTGGAAGAGGTCAGAAGGAACATAGAAGGGGGAGCATGGCGAAATGATCTGTGTCATTGAATATGAATTCCTAGGTCCCACTGAGTTATACAGGCGTGGTTTTTACCCTACTCAGCATATCAGAGTTCTGAGAACTAAACCCTGTGGCACAATACTGCTTCAGTCCAAGACTAAGATTGGTGAATTCTACAAAGGTTGGAGCCTTGTGGAAGGAAGGTGCATATTTATAGACAAAAGCCAACCAAGTGAGTTACTGTTAAAAAATTCTCTTAAGATACAAAGAACTTGAAAATACCATTTTATTTAAAATTTGGAGAACCCGACATGATCTTGTATCTAAGGAATCCCGAAGACTCCACTCCCAAATTACTCACGCTGATTCAAAACTTTGGCAAATTAGCAGGTTATAAAATTAATCCCCCAAAATCAATGGCTTTTCTGTATGCCAACAATGAGAAAAGTGTGGCTGAAATTAGGAAAGCAACTCCATTTGTAATAGCCCCACAAAAAATAAAATACCTAGGAATTAACTAAAGAAGTGAAGGACCTCTATGATGAAAACTTTAAAATCTTGAAAAAGGAAATCAACACAGAACTTAAAAAATGGCAAAACCTCCCATGCTCCTGGATTGGAAAGATTAACATCGTGAAAATGGCAATACTTCCCAAGGCTATCTACAAATTCAACGCAATACCTATCAAAATTCCACCCTCATTCTTCAAGGAAATAGAAGAGGCAATCCAAAAATTCATATGGAACAATAAAAGACCCCGAATAGCAAAAACGCTCCTCAACGGAAAGAACACTGCTGGAGGAATATCAATACCAAATTTCAAACTCTACTATAAAGCCATAGTAATCAAAACAGCTTGGTATTGGCATAA